TAGGATCGGATGGTTCAGTCTGGTTTTAACCCGAGTATTAAAATCGAGAATTGATCAGTTTCGTTTTGATTCTCGATTCAAATATTAAGAACATAAAAACTCGGGTTTTATCCCGAATTTTTTTTACAGGTGGCGGTGCAATTATCCAAGCATTTTACTTTTTCTTTTGAACTTCATAGTAAGTTATTTAAAAACCTAGACAAATGAATTATTTGAATTTAATAAATGTAATTGTGGAATTAACAAGAGGTTTGAGTTCATTTTATCTCTTCCAAGTTAGTATTTTTGGCTCCTTCAAAGCATAAAGAAAATGAAATGAAATTGGCACGTGTTTTCAAGAATTCATTCAAGCCAACACTATTCTACTTCTAGAAAATCAGTTGGTTTAAATTATTGAATTGAGTTAAACTTGAAAAACACAGATCATTAACATCAACATAAATGGTTTAATGAACATGTTAAGGAAAATTAGATAATTAAATAAATACATTTTAAGAGCCTTTATAGTTAGGCACTACATTTGTTTGATTAGTGAATTTGAGAACTTCAATTGAATGAATCGAATTGGATTAAACCAAAATCGAACCGAACGATTGTATTTCATACTTAGTGATAGAATCAATGATTTCATTTTTCAGATAATTATTAGAACTCAGTTCGATTCAATTCTCTATGAAACCAAATCACGATCACTAATATTTAGAACCAGATCGAACCAATTCAATTTTGAGATTTTATAACAAACAACGAGTTCTCAATGAATGGACCGACCACTTCTGGTCCTATACAATGAATAATTTAACAAGTCTTCTCTTGTGTGAACAAGACATCCAAGTTCTATTAGAAATTCAGCTGTTGTATTTCAATTTTGAGGAGAGCTCAAATATAATATTGTAATTAGATGGTGAAGAGATTGTTGCACAGAATAATAATTGAACCATACATTGAAGAAAAATAAACACAGCAACAAAAATTCTACTTCATATTCTATTTGAAATAAACTGTTACGATTCTTATTGCAAGTTATGAGACTTCAATCCCACATCGAAAGTGTGCTTTCGGTGTGTAATGTATATAGATTTGAGCTCTCCAACTTCAATAAATAACTTTTGAGATATGACTTTCCCAATATATATATCTATGGTATTAGAACAGATACCAAGTCTCCCGATTGAATGGTGAAGCGGCATAGCATTGTTCATCCGAGACTAATCACGGACTAGTACAAAGCGTCCATCCAGCGTGGGCGTCAGGATCACGAAAAATAATAGATTGTTATGATTCACATCGTAAGGTATGTGACTTGACTCCTACATCGAAAGTATAATATAGACTTGAGTTTTCCAACTTTAATAACTAACTTTTGAAGTATGACTCCCAAAATCTATATCAAAAACCTAACAATTATGCAAGTTGATGAATTGTAATATTTAACATAATATTTTTCGGGTTTGACAGTTTCAGTTCGGATTTCAAAAAAAGAATAGAGAACACAATCAGGCAAGTCCAACAATAGGGTTCATCGATTCATATGAATGAAAATACATTCCAACTCATTGGAAAATGAACCGGTAGGGTCCATTGTTAAATAGACAGAGATTACGTAGCATTATTCAGTATTATCTGGTGAAGTAATAAATGGTGGAAATATTTAATTAAAATGTTTCTGACCAACTAAAAATGGCCACAAAGTATCATTCAAAAAAATTGAGTTCGAAATATTACAATAAATCATATAACAAAGAGGACCTAAAGTACAGATTTCGCCACAACTCTCTCTTCCAAAAAACCAAATCAACTAGTTTGAGGCCTTAAACGAGCTTTGAAGTAGGCCAGAGATTGGCAATTTCAGGTCATGTGTCAATCTCTGAAGAACCAGTGCTAGTAAGTGCACGTCTGATAGGGCTCTATGGGCTGAACCAACCAATGGAATATCGTAGTATTCCCGAAGGGCTTGTAACGATACTTTTGATGGAACTTTGGATCCTGATGACATTTAAAACCAAGCTAGAAAATGAATATGCATCTATGATCAAATGTTCTGAGCAAAGGAGAGAGGGGAAAACCTTTAGATTTCATCACTGCACGAGCCAGTGGAAGGGTGTCAATGAACAACCAATCGGGAGGAATCTTGCAAGAGCAGCGACTAAATTCTCTTTTCAAAAAGGGGACGTCAAAAGTCCGAGCATTGTGAGCAATTAAAACCACAACTCCACCAGGTATCTGGCGGCTTTGGATATACTTCAGTAAGATAGGAATCAGCTGCTCCATACTACAAAGGAATTGTTTGGAAAAGCTTATTTCCTTCAACTTATAAGCAAAGGCAAAAACCAACTATATCTGAAAGGTGAAAACTTCAATTTGAAAAAATTTCAGACATCAATCACTCATAGACATAGAAAAGCACAAGGTATTTAAAAGGTTCATCCACAGAATCCCATGCAGGTAGATCAGAAAGGCACTATTTTTACAAAATGATCTGTATCAACAGTAACAATTTCTGTAATTAAAATACCTGGGAACATCAGATCTGTTGACCATATTGTTTGAAATACCATGAATGTGTGTATTTGGCACATAACGTCCCGGATTCACTAGAGATTGGAAAGTACTGTTTTTTCCTCCTCGTAGATCTTGAAAGGCAATCTCAATAACCCGATCATTCTCTCTGCCAAATCCAGTAGTTTCAATATCAAAAGCAATAATTGTTACAAGCCTTTCCAAGTCTTTGTTGTCAGCAATCTTTTGCTGAACATAATATTGACTTCTTTCTAATTCAGTTGTTTCTAATTCATATTTATTTAACTTAATGCTACTTGTTTCTTCAGATATTTCAGGTCTGATACTAGTTTTGCTGCTGAAGGTGTCCTTTTTTCCTCCTGTTTTTGTATTTACAGATCTACTAATCCACTTCCTACTATATCCTCCTTCAGGCTCATATTTGTGAGAACCAAGAACCTTTAAGCTGGAATTACCAACACTATCCCTACCTAACTTGTATAAACTTCCCCGCCAAGAATTAGTTAAGGTGTGAATTTTGCACCAAGGAACTTGCAATAGAGAGAAGCACATTGCAAATTGTTTTCATCCGAACCCAAGAACAACCTCACTACCAGATCCAAAGTGGAGAGAATATGTAAAATAGCTTAACCTGCAGATGACGTCATAACAAATATTAAAAAAACGCATAATACAGATGCCAACATACTTAAAATAGTACTCCTAAAGTTCTGCTTGGAAACTCGTAACAAGCTCCTCTTCATTATAAGGTAATCATTCAGGCTACATTTTTTTTTATCAAAAAGACGACTTCCGTGAATTAACTGTTTGTATACTAAGTTTACTACAATTTACAAAAGAAAACAAACAGAACCCGCAGAGCAAGGAATATGGTTTGAATTACTGGTGGAGTAAACGGTCTCACTTACATCTAAGGAACTTCATAATGGATTAATTTAAACATGAGGTGTTCAATACAGTGAATAGCAAGCTCATTATCAACCACATTTTGCATTGAAGCAGCGTTGACTTGAATGGTTTAGTTATGCTGAATGTATATTGTCACATAGATTAGTTCTAGCATGCTGCATTCTTAGTCCAGTAGCTTAAATTTAGGTTCATCGTGTTGGGTAGCATACTAATGTTAAGTCAATATACTTTGACCATTATGACAAGTAATCTTTGTCTTCATTAGCTTGTGGAACTACTGCTAGAATTGTGAGTATAAGCTCCTTAAATCAATTGTTCAAAATAATTGCATAACGAAACAGGAAAGGGCGGTGAATATTGAGTTACTGAAAGATACAGAGTTTAATCCGGTGCCAATAGAAAAATGGCAATGCCTGTTTTCCATTTTCATATATGACCTGCTTCATCTCTAACACCAAAACAGCCTATCTTGTACCCCACAAAGACCCACAAAAATCCTTTTCAACATATGACACAAAACAGATCCTGACTAAGATGCAAGTGATTCCCTATTAAAGTGGTCAAGAAAATACTTTCTGAACCAAAACTGAAGCATCCAAGGATGAGTCTAGATGATTTAGATTAATTGTTTTCTGATAGCCTATAGGAAGATTAACATGCTCTATGCTTAGATCTCTACCATCTAGATACAGTCCTAGGTGAATGCTTTACTGAATACCATTGCCAACTTGTTCTTTCCTGACATCTCAAGGAAAATAATCTAGGTTGTTAGGACCCACCAAACTCCACATTAGTATGATATTGTTCGCTTTGAGTTTGGGCCCTCACGAATTTGCTTTTGGACACTACCAAAAATGCCTCATACCAATTGAGTATTGTCCTACACTTATAAACCCATCATATTTCCTATGTCCAGCCGATGTGGGACTTCTTTTACTCCCCACAATCCTCCCCTTAAACTAAGGACCATATCATTGTGGCCTCCCCTCAAACGATAATCTATCAGTCAATCATCTTATACCGCCGTTATTGTCGTCGCCCTCGACCAAATAGGACCCGCCGCCTGACCACCATATTTTTATGTCAGAAGACTTTCGACACAAGGCACCTCAAACGCTGATGATTTATAGCCAAACGTAAGGCTAATTAGGGGGGAAACTCCACCACACTTTCCGCTACGTTCATCCAATTAAGTTTTTGGGCCCTGGGCTCTGATACCACTTGTTAGGACCCGTCAAACTCCACATTGGAATGATATTGTTCGCTTTGGGCCCTCAAGAATTTGCTTTTAGATACTACCCAAAAGGCCTCATACCAATGGAATATTGTCCTACACTTATAAAC